ATTACAATGATATGTTGTAAAAGAATTTGAAAAACCAGTTACCCATTAAATACATTAAACTCAAACATCAAAATAAAACTTGTTGAAATGTTTATTAAATCTAATATTTAATTTTTTTTGGAGAAAGCTGTAAAATTGGTCGGATGAATTGGTCAAGTTGCAAACTTGATCACCAGTTGCAAATCGAATCTCGTTTTGACTTCTGGTTTTACCAACGGTGGGCTTATTTTGCATATTTTGGGACCAAAATTGCAACTCAACTAATATAATGGAACCAAATTTGCAATTTTCTCATTTTCAACAATAAGGTGCTTTGTTTGCCTAATCATTTGAATTTTAACATTATATCAGGAAATAAGGAAACTGAATGAGAGGATTGGAATGCTGACAACAGAGCTTGAAAAAACAAAAGCAGATAATGTCAAGCTCTATGGAAAAATTCGTTATGTTCAGGACTACAATGCTGAGAAAGTAATATCCAGAGGATCAAAGAAGGTGCTTAGTTGCAGATGCAAAAAGAATAATTTTAATCCATACTTCTTTGTCTTAACTTAGTTGTCTCTGCATTTTCAGTATGCTGAAGATCTGGAGAGCGGGTTTAGTTCTGATGTTGAATCCAAGTATAAGAAAATATATGAAGATGATATTAATCCTTTTGCAGCATTCTCAAAGAAGGTGAACAACCTTGTATCTCTTTTCGAGTGTTTCCGTGGTGGATTTGTTATTTTTAAACGATTCCTTTCCATAAGTGATCAGTTTTTATAAATTTATTGCTTTGTGCAGCATATTGTTCATATTTTTCTTGTGGTTGATTGACCAAAATTCTGCTGTATTCCTTGTTCATAAGATATATAACATATGGACATATTACAGTTTTTCACATTGCTGTTTTCTGGTGATTAATGAGATTTCATTTATTAACGAACTGATGCTTTTGTTTAGAATACTTTTGTTCGCTTGATGTTAAAATCTCACTGTATGTAACATTATAACAATAGTTTTTTAGTGACCCTTATTGAATAGATCAATTCTCCAAAACTCTGTGAGTGTATCTCATGCTGTTAAATCAGGATAACTTGTGCTGTGCAGACCAGATTTTTTGAGTGTCCTCATTTGCTGTTGTGTTTGTTCTTTACACTGGACATAGCACCCAGCTAATATTTTTCTTAATATTTTCCAATTTTTGTGGGGGAAAAAAAAAAACAGGAAAGAGATCAAAGGTACAAGGAGCTCGGTCTGAGGGATAAAATCACTCTCAGCAGTGGACGCTTTCTTCTCGGCAACAAGTATGCTCTCACTGTGTATATTTCGTAGATTCGAATCATTGAAATTGGATCAAGATGTTGTGAAATCAATGGTGGCATATTTCTTTTCGCATTTTTCTGTAGTATGAATATCCACTGCCCGTGACCTTTGCAGGTATGCAAGAACCTTTGCATTTTTCTACACAATCGGGTTGCACGTATTGGTGTTCACCTGCTTGTACAGAATGTCTGCCTTAAGCTACCTCAGGTTTTTTTACCTTTGTTCCCTACTTCTACCTCTATGACTCATTTGAGGAGTCATTTTATGTTTTTTACAATCTTACTATTTTCTGCAGCCATGGACCCGAGGAAACTCTTAATGGAGATAACATCAATCTTCCCCATCCTCAATAACCATAACCAACCTGACATTTACTTTCTAACTTTGTCAAGATCATCCCTTGTATGGATCAAAGATATGGTTCGTGATTAGTATATTTTATCACCTTTTATATGTCAATCCAGAAATATAGTTTGTAATTTTAAGATTCGGATGTCGCGTTATCATTTTGATGTGGACGTAATTTGTTATGTGAATTTGGGCATTGCTTTCCTAGTTGTTGCTCCGAGATAACTCTATAATTTCGTACATTTTTTGACAAAGAGAGCTCCGAGTAAGATGTGTTGCCAAGCCACCAGTCGGAAGGTCACTACCCTTAGTTCGTTTTACAGCCGACACCTTACCACCCCAACTTCAGCCATGCAAGAAGTTGAACTAGAAGTTATTAGACTCGTTCAGAAGCTGCTTAGCACCACTTTTGTTCATTTCCTACTCCAGACGTAGGACTCGATTACAGAGATAAAAATTACGACAATATGTTGTGAAGCAAAAACTGTCTTAAAAAAATTAATAATAATAATAAAAAAAATTAATTAAATAACCTAGTGCACTATACATTACAATCTTTATTGTATAATTTAATTGCAAAGTAACTAAATATGTGTATTTTATTTGCAAACATACCAAAAAATTAACTACAAAATAATTACACGATAATCATGGTAATAGTGATTTTAAAGGAAGTTAAAATTTGACCTAAAACTGAATCCTTCGTCACATTTTCTTACAGCGTCGAGCCTCTTAGCTTTGTCTTTTTTTTTTTTTTTTTTTTGGTAGCTGCCGAGCCATTTATAGTTGCGAAAAAACAAGTGCATAATGTTTCCAAGTTGAGTCACCAAGGGGGAATTAGGAACACTATTAATCCTTCTTTTTTAAAAAGAAGAAAAAAAAAAAGTTTTCAAGTTTTTCAATTCACTTAATATTGGGTCCCAATATGAATAAACCAAAAAACTAGTGCATGAAGTAAATGCCATGTTACATGGTCACTACACTTTTAAATTTTTACAAAAATACGACATTCAAAATAACACCGTACATACACGCTTAATATACGAGTTATAAATGAACGACAATACAATTCAAAAATAAATGATAATAATAATAAATCATAAACCAATAATTCATAAACTACAAAAATAGCTAATTTATAATTTTTTTTAAAAAAAATAAATCTTGAATGTACAAATAAAAAGAAATTTATAGGTGAATGTTGAAAATTTATCTATGTTAAATTTTCTCTAATAACTGTTGGCTTCCTCGCTGGCATCTGGTCCTCCACCCCTCAGAGACGCATTCTTTATCCTGACGATATTCCTCTCCGCCCTCGCACCCTCATACGGATGGACCAGATAGATACCCTTCATTCAGATTTGTGTAGCCGATCCTACCTTTTGGCGCATCTGCCACATTGTGATGTTGACTTTTTCGCTGAGTCTCCCCGGACTTGGATCTGTTATTTTTATATTTCTCGCTTATCCTTGTATTTTGTCTTACCTTTGCTTTTGGTTTTTCGTGTAACTTGATGTATATCTGACATTAGACTTACAGCCATGTAACTTTTCAACCCATTCAGGCATTTTGTCTATAAATGTTGGGGGTTTAGAAAAAAAAAAAATCTCTAATAAGAAAGAGGCCCCACATGATTGAAGCCCTAGGCATTAGCCTTATTGGGCTGCCCCTGTGCCGGCCCCGTTAAAACCATAAAAAAATGGGTAGCTCTTGAATTCACTTCATATAAAAAATTGGGGCAAAATATTTTTAACCCAAAAATATATTTTTTACATAAAGCTTTAAAGTTTTCTTTCGAATTATGCAAAATTCACAATTTACCTACTGAAATTAAAAACTCGAATATGACAAAAATACGTTTAACTTGTTTAACAATGAATTTTGAATCGAATGTAAAATTAATTTAAGACTTGTAAAGCTCATTGCGTCTAATGTCATAAACGAAATGAAGTATAATTTATCAATTTATGAAAATGAATTATCAATAATTAGTCAATGAAAAAGTTCGGCCGTATCTGCATAGAAAAATCTTTAATTTAAATTTTTAGATGACCAAGATATCTCATTTTCAATCGGGATGTGTCATTCAAAGCTTACAATACTAGCATTCTAATGAAGTATTATGAAAATCCAACGATTGGATTGTGATTAATAATCAAATAAATTAATAAATATCTTTTTTTGTTCCTTCTAAAGTGATTTGTCCATTTTTAAATTCCATATGACAATCTTACAAAAATGGCACAGTTTAGGAGGTTACACATTGTTTCCCCTACAAATTGGTATGAGTACTTTGTTGGAGGTCTACTTAGAGCCACACCTACTTATCAAGTTTATTCGATCAATTACGACACAAATAACTAGAATCAAATAAGCCAAGCGGCTAGCCTAGGTAACACGGATAAGTAGTACCACCATTACGAATATGCATGTCATGACAAAGATGAGCAGCCACGTAAAGCATGATGTCTTCATACTCTGCGAGAAAACCTCCGCTGCCCTTGTGTTGGCATGCCCAGTGCTTGCTAAGCTGTGTTCAACAGCTTTCTCAGTCGAGTCAAGGATCTAAAATGAAAAGGATAATCAATTCGTAAGCTGAAAATAAATACAAAAGTTTCTGTTGCACAAATAAAAACGAATTCGTAATGGAAGATAATTAGGATGCTCGGATATGAAAATCTACTATAGATTTAAGAACAAACTATTGTAGCCAAGAATAAATATATGTATCGTTGAAGAAAGAACTCCCTCCGAATGTCAACCATTAAAAAGATAAGTTCAAATACAGAAGGGATTGAATCATATGACTCGAAGGCATGATTCATTTCAGGTGTGGTTTAGGACAAAAGTTTATAAGCAAATAAAGTTATACTCACCTTCTCGGTGTTTTTGATGGATTCGTTCATTCTAAGACTACTCTCTTTGAGTTGTCGTGCTAAACCAACCATTTCGTCTGTCAAATCTTCTTGTAGCTTTCTGTAAAGACACAAAGTATATAATCAAATTAGTAGGTAGCATGAAGCATAGAAGAAACAGTAAATAAGTTAAAAACACGTGCTCAATGACAAAAACTGTAAACTCCAACTGTAACAACATTGTGACTAAGGCAAAGATTTTCTAAGTCAATGATTTTCATAGAAGAGACATAAAATCCAAAAGCATTACACTATTTCTTCTAGAAAAAAGCTATATTTTGCCACTGTGAGCCGCCAAATTTACCCAGAAAATCCACCAGACGAATATGGTCCTATTTATATCCATATCCAAGTTCTATTCATATTCAGACTATAAACATCAAAAGAAAAGAGAGAACTTCATAATAAGACATCCCGAACCATTAACAGTTTCCTAATGTTACTAGACCACTACAATATTCGATCGTGTGAAAATACATACCTGTGTTTCTCAATATGAGCCTGTGCTGCCGCATCCAATTTGACAGATTTCGGAGAATCCTCAACAGTGTTGGGGATGGTTCTTTCAGATGATGGAGGCCTGCCTTAGGTCAAAGTCAATGTTGGTCATAATTTCATTTTATATATCATAATAAGGGAAAAGGGTGCTTAGAATTCATGATCATTGAACATACACAAATCTCCTCCTCAGTCCTCTGGGAGAACTTACACCTTCTTCCGCTGATACCGAAGGGGGCTCCAGAACCTTGCTGTCAAGAGAAGGCTCCTCGGGAAATTGAGTACTGCACTGAAATTTCCAAGAAAAATGCACGATTAGAGGTAATTACTATAGAATTTTAAAACTTCATAACCATGATTGGGAGGAAAAAAAAAAAAAAGTAAATGTCTTTATGTTCCAGCTGTAGATCAAGAAGCCACTCATTTCGAAGTAATATGCAGAAAATTGTTCACATTCTTTACATTATAAAATATTGAACCTCAAAGTGACCAAAGACAAAAAAAGAGATCAATATTGATTTCTAAGCCCCATATTTTTCAAGTAAAACAGAAAAGAAATGGATGTTTTTTTTCCTTAAAAGCAGATCATTCTAGCCTTGATCTGTCAGCCATTACGTCACATAAAGAACGAAAGGAAAATAAACTGGAACGCCAAAAGAAAAGAAACGAAAAATGACAAGAAAAGAAAAGAAACTGAAAGAGACCGCAACAGGCTGCGTCCAGCAGTCATAGGAGGTTGTAAATGGAATGAGTCGGTTGTTGGTACCTCCAATTTTCCGATTGGAGTATGTTATCAAAAAAAAAATAAAAAAAATAAAAAAAACCTAGTGTAGAGGCAAGGAAAGGAACCTGATTTTAGATCCAATTTTTTTTTTTTTTTTTTAACTGGGTTCAATTAGGCCTCTGTCTTGCCCTTAGAAAGAGGAAAGGTGCCATAAAGCGCCCGCCTCGGCAACAGGTCTGCCTCTGGCTGTCTGGCAGGGGCGACAGGTTGCATCTGCCTCCTCTCACCATGACAGCGCCATTTAAAACTATGCCATGCACAATTTGAGCCTTTAAAGAAAATAAAAAATAGAAGTGCAATAAAGCATCACCTGTATATTATTTCATCTTCAAAATATACATCATTCGTTGAAGGGGGGAAATGATATTCAAGTTAAAAAGGGAGAAAACCAACTCTACTAAACTCTGCTTATTATACAGAAAGAAAGTTTTTTTAAGTCGAACGGAAATTCTCTCCTCTAGGAAATCATAATATTCTTCTAAATGTCCTAGCATAAAGGCCATTTTCTTATCGTCTTTCCAAATAATTTGTGCACTTGCAAAAGACCAAACATATTCCACATTTCAAGGAGTTGCATAAATCAATGTGCAATGGTTTGTAGGACTAAAACACATATCACCTGCAAATGACAGAGAAAAAGAAAAAGAAAAAAGAGCAAGCTACTCATAACCCAACGCACCTCGGTGGCCACCAGTTTGGCAGCTATAGCTTCAATTTTCTCGGAATATTCATTTAACTGGCCTTTAGAAACCCTGTAGAAAAAGCCACAAAAATGAGATGAAATTGGAAAAGAAATGATACTCAATTCATGGACGGCATCCAGTTAGATATTCTCAAATTAAGGTATGAAAGAAAAAGCAGAAAGACACTACTGGACAGCTTTCAGGACTAAGCTACATAAAGAACTTTTGTTGAGCATATCAATAAATGAAATGGAGAATTTTTAAAGACATTATTAGGGTCAATTTTAATTATAGTTGCCGCTATCAAATAATGAAATGGAGATCAGGCGCATGCTTATAGCAATCAACTAATCAAGAATACTTCCTTAGGCTTGTCAAGTATAACGAGTTCAAGTGAAAGACATAGCTTCATAATTCCATATAGACTCCCTCATTGATTATACAATATGATACTATGTTATCTTGGAGGCCTATACCAGCCAAATACACCATTAAACTTGTATTAATAAATAATTATTCATAAAACATACCAAAAGATTTAACCTTTGAAACTTTACGAAGTTTATTCACATCATTAACAACAATAAATGGGATGTGACTTTGTCCTGGTCAATTAGTAATTTAGCAAACGCTATAAGCAGCCATAACAGAGCAAAAATGATATAATTTATCGAACACACGGAGTCCAGGAGAAATTTCCAAACTTGTTACACAAAATCAAGATCGGAAATAAAAAAACAATTTCAAATCCCAGGAGGAAAAGAAACCCAACCTCGGAAGACCTTCAGAGACCCTCTCTTCGGCGAGTTTCTCCAGTAGCTCCCGTAGTGCAGCAACATACTGTAAAGTTGCAGCCAGAGAAAAATGAACAATTACTCATTTCCAAAAAAGTATATTAAAAAGTTGTACTAAAGATGGGTAGAAACCGAAAAGCATATAAAGAGTGAAAAACATCATAATAATATAAAACCTATTGTCCTTTCTTCGGAATCTCCTAACGCTAACCAACAGTGTATGCAGAAGACATGAAAAGTTATATAAAAAAGCAAAACTACAACTATGGATCAGAGAACTGGAGAGCATACATGCACGAGCTTTGCTTGATTATGCTGCTGCGGGGCTGCTGCAAGTAACCTTCTCAGATTCACTTCAGTTTTGCTAAATCCCATTGCAAAATTCTAAAAAATTCTTCAAATGAGCTCAGAGTATGACTTTAGAATCTTAGGGCTAGTATCGGTTCAGTAACCGACCCGATTCCATCAAACCGATACCGAACCGAACACAATCGGTATCACTAATTTGCAAACCGGAACCGAATAGATAAGAATTCCGTAACCGACACGATAAAATGGTTCTGTTTCGTTTTAAACCGATAAAAAAAATGAAAAACAGAAAAAAAAAAAAATGCTATAACACATAAAATCTCCTCAGGAGGGTGTAACAGAGGCTTAAATACATAAAATGAGCATGAGCAGCCAGGGACATTAACAGAGGCCATTAACAGGGCTCAAGCAATTTGGCACAACAACAAAACTAGGGTTGTGGCTGGGCAACAAGAACAAGAAAAAATTGGCAAATTGGCACAAGAACAAACTTTTAACAGTGGAAAATTTTAACTTCAAATCTGAAGATTTTAATTTTTATCCCTATGAAACTCGCAACAAAAAAATAGAAAAACCAAATTACATTACCTTGGGCCTTGGGACGGCTGACGGCGAAGGTGAGTCGGTGAAGGAGGCGATCTGAAGTGAAGGTGAGGTGAAGTGGTGAACCTGATGAACTGAAGCGATCTGAATTTCTGAGGTGACAGTCGAGGCTCAATTCTGAATTTATGAAGTGATGAACTTGTCCCAGCCCTTTATTCCTAATATCCGTCCCTTTCTTAAAATAAATAATAAATAAATTTATTAAGATTTAAACATTAGTTGTCTATTAAGTATTATCTATTTAATTTAATTTATTATTTTATTTAACCTAATCCCAAGTATTTTGAGTTTTTTTATATTATTATCGGTTCGGTTCGATTCAGTACAAACAAAACTTAATGGGTTCGGAACGATACCAAACCGATAACATTTCGGTAACCGATTACACATGAGTCGGTTTAGTTTGATTTATTTTCTCATCGGTTCAATTCAGTTTGGTTCTCGGTCAAAAATATCAGCCCTTACTTTAGATATTGTATCCAATAAACCTTTACATTCTATCCCACAAATTCAAGCCACAAATTTATATGACAAAGCAGAGTGAAAAAATGTTGTATGAGAGAGAGAAAGGTGTATGTATCTTATTGATAAAACAAATAGAAATTTCACATTACAAGACTTGATCTTTGGAGATCATGTCATTTTATGGTGAGGGGCGCCAGCGGTGACAGTACCTACGGTGCCCTTCCCCCACCCTTAGATCATGTTAAGCAACATGATCTAAGGGTGGGGGAGAGGCACCGTAGGTGCTGTTTAAAAATGCACCGTAGGTGCCCCTCAGTCGTCATTTTAGTACCGAATTTTACATAAGGGTGTAAATATGTCGGGTCGGTTAAGAGTTTTCCGGGCAGATATAGTTCTAGCAAACCCATACTCGACCTATACTCTCCTTCGTATCCAGACCCCACCTATTACCAAAATTTATTAAAACTTGAGTTTAACTTGGGCGTGTCATGCCCAAAAATTGAATAATGAGAAAATTATATAGACATCAACTATATCAACTAAGTTTTAATTTACAAGAACACTACATGATCTAGGAAGAAAAAAATAGGTTGAAATAAATCTTGTCAAAACTAGCAATCTGAGTTAATACACAGAAACTCTAGAAGGTAAGACCCGTTATTTGAACATGTCCAAAAGCTAGTCATTATTCAACCCGTCTCTTGTATATTCAGGGGCGGAGCCACCCTAAAGGATGGGGCGGGCTCTAACCCGATCTTAATTTTTCGATTTTGCTATATATATAGTTATATACTGATAAAAATAATATTTTACCTCACGTTACATTATATTAGTCCAGTATTAATTTTATTTTAGCTCAATATAAGTTAAATTTTTATACATTAAATTAATGAATCATATATAAACACGGTTTAAGTTCCTTTCACTTTTTCTTTTTTCTTTTTTGAGGTTATTGTGCCTCTTTTAAATAGATTTTATATGAATAATTTTATTCGAGAAAATATTTGATTGTGTTAGACTTTCATTAGAATACTTAATATATAACTGAATTTATAAATTTTACAATCAAGTTTATATATTCACTGAATTTTTAAATAATGATAAGGTGGGTGTTGATAAACTTTACTATGCTTTTATTTCTTATAATTGTTTGATTCCATAATCAATGTATGTATGTGAACCATTGGTCTATGAGTTGATCTCTCGTCGATTGTTTGCCGACGGTCTTCTATTTTAGACTAATGAGTTGATCTCCTGTCGATAGATTGTGCCGACAGTTTAGTCACCCGTCGATGGATTGTGCCGACGGTTTGGCCCCGTTGAAGAGTGTGTACGTATGAGCGTAGAGCACAGTAGGAGGTAGATACAGTGATTTATGTTCATGTTGTAATTATGTTGTGAGTTATTATTTTGAATATATTGCATAGTATTTTCCATGACGAGCTTGTTGTTTGCTCACCCCCATACATTATTGTTTTTCAAGTTAGGCGGCTGGCTGTGGTGATGATAAGGCGAGTGTGGTTCTCTTTTGGAAATCATTGATATTTTGCTTCTGCATGTTTTTTCGAACTATCTTTATTCCATCTCTGCAAAGCGTTTTTCCAACTGGTCATTGTTTTGAATAAGTACTTTGGTTATTGACTCGATGGTGAAATGTGGTGTGACTTGAGCAAGGATTTTTCGAGTAATGCCCATTTTTGAAAAATGATTTTCGAAAACTCAAACGATTTCTGAAAACATGGAGTTTTGTGTTAGAAAAATGATTTTCGAAAATTCAATTTCAGTTTATTTTCTCTCAATCAAGAGAGCATTTCAGTAAAGCAGCCTATGCTTTGATGAATCTATGAGTGTAACGTGATGTACAAAATGAGAAAAGTACTGATGCAAATGGTATATTACATTAGCCTGCATTCTTCGTATCAACAAATGCAATTCAAAGTGCACAGGGTATTCATACTAGTTCAATTCTTCCTGATAACGTTGTTAATGAACAAGGCACATCAAAATAGCTTCTTTATAAGTTTATAAAGAAGACCAAGAAAATAAATAGCTCGCTAAAGTTGCCGCTATTTGAGAAATAACTTTTTTTGGCGTTGTATTCATGTGCAATTTAGCCGCTAAATCCCGCTATAGCTCCGTTATAGCTACAGTGTCATAAACGTTTTAGCGCCTTATTTAAAACATTGAAGAAGACCAAAACATTTCTCACTCACATGACCACAATAAACACTACATCACTCCCCACATTATTCGCAGGGTAATTTCAGCAAACACATGGCATGCACCAACTCAAGCATATCCGAGTAAACAAATAACGGCCCATAAGCTAACACAGAACATAATCAAGATAGGAGCATCTCACATTATACAAATACAGACACCCAAAACGATGAGAAAAGTACCGAACAAGGCCGGGACAAGGCGGGTTTCTTCACCGAGGATGATCCCAAACACGGTGGTTGCGGCAAACGTGGTGGCGTTGGTGACGGGCACGGCGACGGAAATGGGGGCCCCACTCAGAATGGCGAAGAAGGCGGCGGATGCGGACAGATTTATGAGGAAAGGAAGCGTGTACTGCCAAATCAACGCCAGCTTTAGCCACTTGCTGAGATGGGACGCGTTCGAGTGGGGGGTGGATTTCAGTGTTTGGTCCCAGATGACTGCGCCTCTGCGCATGAGGGCGTTCGTGGCGCCCCAAACGAGGCCCACGGCCACCATCTTCTCCACATCTCTCGCCACCATTTCTACTTGAATTTGATTAATTTGTACACTTGGAGTGTTTGGACCAGATGCCGAGCTTGTGTTTGAATCGCGGCTGTTTCGACGGTCGCTGAACAAATCCACGGGCTGGATCGGGTCAACTAGTGTGACAAAAGAGGAAATAGACTCTGAATAATAAATAAGTTTGCACACAATCAAATACTAAATTAATTTTTTCACACGTTATGGAATAGTGAAACACTTATGCGATATATTATGCGAACAGACAGACAAAAATAATTGATAAAGTGAAAAAACAATATGTGACATACTGACGAAGATAATTGATAAGGTGCCAATGCGACGAGCTATGCGATATACAGGTAAAAATAACTGACAAAATGCATAACACATTATGCGATATACTATGCGACACACAGACGAAAATAATTGATAAAGCGCGAAAAAATATGCGACAAACAAACGAAGATAATTGATAAAGTACGAAACGTACTATGCGAGGAGTTATGCGACAGACAAACGAAGATAATTGATAAAGTACGAAACATATTATACGATGAGTTATGCGACAAACAGACAAACAAAGATAATTGATGTGTAGTAGCACCACAAACCGGCTCTTCACAACCCCTTTACTGATTTGCTCCCCAAAGACCTGCAAAGAGCCGAGATATGTTTTCGCATTAAACCTCTGACAATCAAGTTAGTAAGATGATATGAAAAGTTGTATGGAAATATATTGAAAGCTTAGAGTGTAAAGTGTGATTAGTTTTTACCTTTTCTCAATTTTACTTATTATAGAAAATTATTGGCTTCCTGAACAAGCTTTTCCCTTGCCCGACTGGCCAATATGCCCGAAAGGGCTATCCGTAGGTTATTAGGCTACCCGTAGGTCTGCCCGTCACTTATTTGGCTCTATTCGTATCTAGTAAAGCAATTAAACTATACGGTGTCCCACCCACCGCACGAATACTTTATAAAAAAATCCTCGACATGTCCAAGACTTATAAAACATACATGAATTAAAAGCATACATTCGGGCCAAAATAATCAAATTTAAGAACCATGCAAACAATTTATTTGTAATTCTAATATACTATGCGCTGCGCCAGTACAAAAATAATTCAAATATGCACATAAGTCCTAATTCGAATTGTGCATACCTGTTGTTGGATTCTATGAGGAACTTTATCAATATGCACATCCGAATCTAATGAATTAAGTTCTAACGCAAGGGATTCTATAGTTAGTTTTGGACTTATGGTTTAAAATTTTGCCCACTCTAAGACGTTGTAGATTTTCTCTGTAGGATATCGTCTGATTCGCAAATTTCGTTGGGCAACTAGACTTAGCCTCTTCGGTTGTTCCCTGGTTGCCAAGAATCAGTC